TATAGACTTTGACACGGTCCTGCACGGGGGCCTGAGCTCCCTGGACCCCCCTGAGAGAACACTGTGAGGCCAGTCACTTCACATCACTCCAACCACCTTTACCAAGGTGAAGGCGCATCCATTACCTTGACAGAATTTTGAAGAACTGTGACAGGAAATGTATTACTAGGCATGGAACTTAAAAAAAGCCGGAAACTCTCCTTGATAGTAATATCTGTTTAAAACAAAGACAACAATGAAAAGGAAAACACTTAACTCTTAGTAACACTCTACTAGAAGCAGTAATTATTATAGGGTAGCAAAAAAATGCTGTAAGCTCTGTTTAAAGACTAGTTTATCTCTGATAAGGGTGTTGTAAAATGTTCTCAGGGAATCTTTACAGAAATCTTCATACAGGAGAGTCTGGCACATTTGAGTAAAGACATTAGAGACATGTTAATTTTCAATACTTCATGGAGATGTTCAGGCCCTTCCCTCTGAAATGGAGGAAATTTTCAATTGAAAAAGAGGCTGGTTACCGGCAGTGCATTTATGCTTATGAAGTGTTTTTTTTTTCTTAACCATTTGACTTAAGGCAAACTGCACAAGAGTGATCAGAAAGCCTACGGAGAAGAAAGGAGTTTCTCTCTTCCGCAGAGAAGTTGCAAAGGGAACCAAGGGAGCAGGGATATGGAGAGACGTCAAGGGTAACATCAAGAGGTTAACTGAATACACTTTCTGAGCTAAGAAAGAATGAGTTCCATTCTAGGTTAAAAAGGCCAAAGCAACGTTGGAAAAATCACCATCCGCATCACAGGAAAACACAGGAATCACCCACAGATGACTCTCTTGGCATTGCTTTTTGTACTGTGGTGTTCCTCCAGCGGGCCAGGCTTGCTCCCGCCCTGGGTCTCTGCACTGTCTGTTCCTTCTGCCTGGAAGGTTTTTCCTTTGATTCCCTCACTTTCTTCACGTCTTAAACAAGTGTCACCTTCTCTAAGAGGTCTTCCCGGGCCACACCATTTAAAATTGCGACCTACCTTCCGCCCCACCCGCACTCCATCCTGACCTTTCTCATCCTCCTTACTCTCCTTTTAATTTTGTCCAAAGCACTGACCACATTCTGTTTTATAAATTACTTATCAGATGGTTTATTTACCGTCTGTCTCCCCTCACTAGAATATAAGCTTGATGAGGGCAGGTATCTGTGGTTGTTTTGTTCACCACTATACCTTAAGCCAGTGGTTCTCAACCTTCTGGCCCTTTAAATACAGTTCCTCATGTTGTGACCCACCCATAAAATTATTTTCGTTGCTACTTCATAACTGTAATGTTGCTACTGTTATGAATCATAATGTAAATGTCTGATATGCAGGATGGTCTTAGGCGATCCCTGTGAAAGGGTCGTTCAACTGCCAAAGGGGTCGCGACCCACAGGTTGAGAACCGCTGCCTTAAGCATTCAGAACAGTGCATGGCCCATAGTAGGTTCTCAAATTTTACTGAATGAATGACTGCAGATCAAAGTTGAATTTATTTTTCTTAGTTTGAGCTAACTTAATGAGCTACTTTAAATAGCCAAAATTAAAAGGCAGTTCTAGCACAACTCTAGAGCAACACTAAAATTACTTGCAGGTAGAAACTATTAGGCATAGAAGCCAAACATCAACCAATGTCTTAGGGCTAATGAGTTCGCTAACCCAAGAATCTGAAGAATAAAAAAGGCCAGGTTTAGAGAAGTGTGATCCCCGCCCCGCCCCCCGCCAAATGGCCCCCTTATAATTGCTAATGCATCAAGAATCTTAACTTTCACAGACATCATAGAAGTTTATTTAGAGCTGGAATGAAACCTTAGATGTCATCTTAGTATGGGAGTTCTACCAATGATATGAGGCGATCATTTGATAGCTGGGGAAACTGAGGCCCAAAGCAGAGATGTAATAAGCACAGTCAAGAAGTGGTGGGGCAGAACTCTACCACTTGGATCTTAAACTTTCAAGTCCAGAGCTTTCCTTCTTCCCTTCCCTCCCCTCCTCCCCTCCCTTCCCCTTCCCTTCCCTCCTTCCCTTCCCTCCCTTCTCTCCTCTCCCTCTTTCCCTTCCACTTTTTCTTTTCAGCTTACTACCTGAATGTATTTTATTTTATACTGGTTCAAGTTAAACATCGGAACTCAGGTGGTTAAGTTAATAAATGACTGCAACAAGGGCCAGAAGAGGATTTTTCTATTCACTGAAGCGTTAGTGAGATGCAATCACTTAAACCCCTCTAAGAACTTCCAGCTTCCAAGGCCTCCCAGCCTCCCTGAAGAACTGGCGCATGCTCGTGTACGGGTCTCCCGCAAGCTGAACCCGGTCTCCATATTCTGAAGGTTCATGTTGAACTTCTGCAGCAAGTTACCTGTAGATGTCTTCCCTAGCATTGCTCCTGAATTATAATCCTAACCATTGGGATCCCTAAACCACAGTGAAGACATTCTTGTCTTTTTTCTTTAATCATTTAAATGGAATTAAGCCACAGGAAGCAGGCCACCTCTCATCTGCACTACAAAAGAGTGGGGGATTCTGGATGGTAGGTGCAAATCACTCCTTAGCCTCCTTAGAAGCAGCCTGCAGAAGGCAGGGCCCCGGAACCCGGGAAGCCAGGGGCCTTAGGGGAAGGCTGCAAAGCCCTTGCTCGTGTGGCCTGGTAACCCGTGCAGGCTGGCCACTGCAAAGGAGCAGCTCTTCACCTTAATAGGGAGCATTTAAGAAAAGTTACTTGTAAGACCAGCTGCACAGCTCTCACCTTCCCAGAAAGCTTTCTGCAGTCAAGACAAAAAGGAAGACCCGAGAGGAGGGCTCTGGATACTCTAGGTTGGTGGTTCTCTCCCAGGGCCTCCTGGCGGAGCGGGGCTCACCGTGTTTATTACCTGCGATAGATACAGTTCCTAGGGTTTCCATTATTTCCACACCAGCATTTTAAAATGAGTAGATTCTAACTCCACTTCTTATTTCTCTGCGGCCCATTATACTTTCTTGAGTGGGAAAGGAAGTGGTGATATGGCAGTTAGAATACAAAGCAGTAAAAAGCTACTGTTAAGGGAAGTGGTGGTCATTTCAACTCTGTTCCTTAACTTCTCTCCTTCTATAGGGAAAGATTTATTTTCCTTCGTTGTCCTAAAGTCATTTTTCTTTTTTGTTTTATTATGCTTACATGTAATCTACTTTGAATTCGAATGGCTTCCCATAGACGGCAATGTGAGACAGAAGTGATCCAGTGGGCGCCCTAGCTGAGTGGATAGAGTGTCTGCCTGCAGGCTGAAAGGTCCTGGGTTCGATTTTGACCAAGGGCACATGCCTGGGTGTGGGCTCGATCCCCAGTAGGGGGCGTGCAGGAGATAGCCGATCAATGATCTCTCTTATCATTGATATTTCTATCTCTTTCTCTCTCCCCCTTCCTCTCTGAAATCAATAAAATATAAAAAAAGAAAAAGAAATGATCCAGTGGGTGATCCACCTCAACTTGGTGTCTAAAGATCTTTTTCGAATCTGGGTTGTATAACTTAACTAAAGCTCTGTAGATCTCAAATTTCTTCTCTCTACTATGGGAAACACAATCCCTACAATAAAGAATTATTATAAGGAATCAATTCAACAAGAAAGGCTACATAAAATGGTATTATTATGCAAATGATATGTGTTCGACATACTTGGGTCTGTGAAGGTTTTAATGAGCTCTTCCATTGCCAACATCCAAGAAACAGCAAGATGGCAGTTTTGCAAAAATACCCAGTTTCCTGTTTTCATAGCATCTTTGATCATTTTTTCAGCAATGGGTCCTTGTCCTTGCCCCAGTGAAATGGATTGCACCCTGAGTTGAACAACAACAACGAAATGCTGTTTTTTAAGCAACGAAATCATTAAGACATTTAAATATAGTAGACTTTTGCCTAGAATAAGCACACATTTAACATCCTCATTCTGATAGGCGTACAAATGTTTTTTCTTATTTTCTTGTTTTTTAAAAAACATTTTTACTATAACATATGGGAAAGTGCAAAGAACAAATACACAGCTCTATGAACTATTGCAAATGAACATCTGTGGTTGAGAAGAGAACTTTGCCAACACCCTGGGCACATCTCTTCTGTGCCCCTTTCCAACCAATCGTTTTCCCCTCCTTCTTCCCAAAGGTATTCACTACTCAGACTTCCAAGCTTATAGGTCAGTTTTTAAAAACTTTAAAAAACTGAAGTCTAATATACATATATATATATCTATATATCTTAGTATATAAATATATCTTAATGTATATATATACATATATACATATATATACATATATATACACATATACATATATACATATATATGTATATATATATATATACTAGTAGCCCAGTGCACGAAATTCGTGCACTGGGGTGGGGGGGGGGGAGGAGAAGGGGCCCCTCAGTCTGGCCTTCGCCCTCTCCAATCTGAGACCCCTCAGGGATATATTTTGGGGGGACACCCTGTATATCTCTAGTCAGCAGTGAAAGAAACCAACAGCAGATTTGGAACCCCCAGACAGGGAACCTTGCTCATTCCCCACGTCTCCCCACTTCACTTTCCACCTTCCTGGGCAGCAGGAGAATCAATGTTTTCTCTCATTAATTCGGAAAAGCATGTCCTGTCCTGTCACCCGCTGCCCGGCAGGAGTGAGCTAGGCCCCAAGCAAGCAAGGCTCAGTCAGGGCAGCCTTCGCTCATGGGTGCTGGCACCCAAAGTGCACATTCCTCCTCTACAGTCGCCCCGACTATCCCACTGTTTCACTGAGAGGACGGAATTCCTCTCTGCCTCTGGGCTCTTGATCTTGAACGCTGACCGAAGGCACCTCAGAGAGGGCCGCCCGCGCCCTCCAGGTGTGTCTGTCTGCACCTGCTCCTGCCTCAGCACCTGCATTAACCCCTCAGAGGTGATCTCGTAGCTGCACTGGCCTCCGTGGGAACAGGGCATCACCACTCCGCCCTCTCACTGTCATCTCACAGGCGCCCACTCTCAGCACCCAGAACACCCAGACACTCTCCAAAGGATGTGAGTGCATCAGAGGGGATGTGTGCACATCCTGTGGGGGTGTTAGGCATGCCGGGTTGATGGAAGTGCGGTGGAGAGGCGGGGGGAACTTGTGTACGCCTTGGTTTGCAACTGTTGCAGGCGTGGGAGGGTGACAGTGTGCTGGGGGATGTTCGCAAGCCAGGTGGGTATGTGCACACCACAGGCCTCTGGCTTTGCAGATCCACAAACCCCCGTGGTGTGGCCAGGAGGACGTCTGGCCCGCCATGGTGGCTGTCCCTGCGATCCTGCACCTTCTGGGCCAGGAGGAGGATCTTGCGCAGTCACTCCTGGGCGCTCATGGCTGCCTCCCCACTGTGAAGGGTCACGGATCCGAGTCCCGGGACCGTGCACAGCCTCAAGCGCTGCCCCCCGCCTGGCAGGGTCACAGATCCGTGTCTTGGTCCCGTGGACAGCCTCAAACACTGACCCCCAACCGGCAGGGTCACAGATTCGGGTCCTGGACTCCAGACAGCCTCCCGTGCTGCCCCCCTGTCCACCAGGTCACGGATCCGGGTCCCAGGACCACGGACAGCCTCAAGCACTGCCACACCACTCGCAAGGACATGGATCCAGGTCCCAGACCATGGACAGCCTCAAGCACTGCTCCCCGCCTGGCAGGGTCACAGATCCGGGTCCCAGACCGCAGACAGCCTTGCCTGCTGCCGCCTGCCTTCAGTATGCAAATTAGCCGCCATCTTGTTGCTTCAGGGTGGGGGTCCCCACTGGGGTGCCTGGCCAGTCTGGGTGAGGGGCTGAGGGCTGTTTTCAGGCTGGTGGGCGACTGAAGCTCCAAACCTCTCCTTTTTTTCTTTTTTTAAATTCTGGCATTTATTTACCTTCTATGGCTGTCACTGGAGCTGAGAGCTGGCTTTCTCTCTGAAGCTCGGCTGCTGAAAGCAGGTTTCTGGCCTTTGTTTACCTTCTGTATTTGAAACTTTGTTGCGACTCCAGCTCTGAGATCCCGGCTGACTGAAAACAGGTTACTGGGGTTTTGTTTAGCTTCTATATTTGTTACAATGTTTCAAACTGCAAGCTCAGAGGCCGGCAGTGGCAGGCGGGGAACGTTGGAGTCCTCCGTCACTGAAGCAAGCAAGCCTCCTATTAGCTTTAAGCTGCCTGGCTGCCGGCCGCCATCTTGGCTGGCAGTTAATTTGCATATCTCCCTGATTAGCCAATGGGAAGGGTAGTGGCCGTATGGCTAATTACCATGTTTCTCTTTTATTAGATAGGATATCTTAGTATACAAATAGTACAAATCATTAATACATGGCTTAATGAATTCCCCCAAGGTGAATATACTCATGTATCACCACTTAGGACAAAATAATGGACATTACCATCACCCTTTCAATCAGTATCCTCTTCATTCTCAAAGGGTATTTTGAATTCTAACACCATGGGTCAATTTTGCCTGTTTTTGAATTTTATATCAGTGGAATCATATTTTTTTATATTTGGCCCATTTCAATCAACAATATTTTTGGATTAATTTATATTATTGTGTGTCATGATGTTCATTCCTTTTTATTGCTATACAATATTCCACTTTTTATCCATTTTGCTCTTGAAGGACATTTGGATCATTTATGGCTTTTGACTATGACATACAATGCTTCAATAAACATTCTTGTACATGTCTTTTGGTATACATGTGCACTCCATTTTGTTGTCTACATTCCTAGGAGTGGAACTGCTGTTTGACAGAATATGTGTAATGTTTAACTTTTTTTATAGTATCAAACTATTTTCCAAAGTGATGCCACCATTCCACACTTCTCCCAGCAGCAGGTGAGAGTACTTGCTTCTCCATGTCCTTGCTGACACCTGATGAATGTATAGTGGTATCTCATTGAGGTTTAAATTGTTTCCCCCTTTCATAGGTTCATTTATTGGCCATTTGGCTATTCCATTTTATGTCTCCCCTTGCTCTCCTCTTTTTTTTCTATTGTGAATCACCTTTTTCTTTTTAAGAGTTCTTTATATTGGATATAAACACTTTGTTCTCTTTTTACTGTCTCCATAGTTTTGCCTTTTTCCAGATTGACATGTAGTTGGAATCATAAAGTATGTAGCCTTTTCAGATATGCACTTAAGTTTCTTCCGTGTCTTCTCATGGCTTGATAGTACCTTTCTGTTTAGTGCTGAGTGATATTTCATTATTTGGTTGTACCACAGCTTATTTACCTATTCACCTACTGAAAGACATCTTGGTTGCTTGTAAGTTTTGGTAATTATGAATAAAGCTGCAGTGAACTTCCAGGTGCAGGTTTTTGCATACACATAGTTTTTATCTCCTTGGGTAAATACAAGGAGTGTGCTTGCTAGATAGAATGGTAAGAGTATGTTTCATTTTGTAAGAGGACACAAAACTGTCTTCCAATGTGGCTGTACCATCTTGCATTCCCACCATTAATCTGTATCTGCCTCTTACTTTCTCTTCTGCCTTCTTCCTTGTTTAGTTTCACTCATCAAATCAATCTATCATTTGTAAATAATTCCAGTTCTCTACTAATTTTTTCAATCCTTCATTTCTTTGAATATTTTAAATGTTATTTAAAAATCTATCGCATGTATCCATTATCAGCACACCCTGCATTCTGCTCCTATTGCACATTGTTTTTCTTAGTTTGTTTTTTTAAAATATATTTTATTGATTTTTACAGAGAGGAAGGGAGAGGGATAGAGAGTTAGAAACATTGGTGAGAGAGAAACATCGACCAGCTGCCTCCTGCACAACCCCTACTGGGGATGTGCCTGCAACCAAGGTACATGCCCTTGACTGGAATTGAACCTGGGACCTTTCAGTCCGCAGGCTGACGCTCTATCCACTGAGCCAAACCGGTTAGGGCTGTTTTTCTTAGTTTTTAAACATTTTTTTCTGGCCTTTCCATGTACCTGATTTTATTTTATTGTGTGCCTAAGATTTTGTGTTTCTGCAGACAACATTTACATTTTTTCCTGGTAGACAGCTAGAGATACTAATAAACAGGGATCACCTTAACCTCTTCAAGTAGTCTATTTCTTACTTGGTCTTAGTCCTTTTAATGCATAAGTTTAAGCTTCCCCCTTGCCCCTGTTACTGAGCGGAGTAGAGGCTCATGTGAAAGATGAGAAGAATACAACCTAAAGAGCTATGGATTTTTTTTTTTTTTGCACATTTGAGCATGGGGAGTAAACTATAATCCTCTTACAGTTACATTAAAAACGTCTTAAATAACAAGTAAGTTTTAGTCACTATTCCACTAGATGATCAGACTTCAACATTTTAAATCATCTCCCTTTCTCAAATGAAATTTACATATACTTTTATGATTTTGACCCCATTTTAACAACATAGTTAGCTAAATATTAATGTTTCTTAATTTATTTAGTAAGGGTTACCTGAATGTAGGAATTCATGCTCCATAGAAGGAACAACAAGGGAAACTTTTATCAAGGAGATGTTCATATGAGTTGCTGAATCTGCACAAAAAGACCTTACCGTTCCGAATATCCTCTGTCCCGGGCAAACCTCTGGAATGCACCCATGGGATCGGAGCCCGTGCTTAAGATGAATATGAGGGGAGTGTTGTGGGACATATCTTGATACAGAGTCGGCAGGTCCATAGGCGGCGTCTCTATAAAGCGTTTCCCAAGATTTTCTATGACAAAATCTGTAAGAGCAAAAACCACCTGAAAGGTGAAAAGGTGAAAAGAAAACACATTTAAAAAAGTGTTGGTTGAGTATCTTTCATAATTTTACTCTATTTCCCCTCAGCGTCTCAGAGGCCAATGCCCTGTCCTTTGAGCTCATTCTCTCTTGATTGGGTATATTTCTTCCTGTGGATCAAATTGGTGAACTTGTACACCACACAACTGCTGCCAGCCGTGCTTCTCCTGACTGCACTGAGCAGGATAAAGTATTACATGAGAGGAACGTCTATCTGTACACCTGCGGTCTCCCCATCCTCTCCTCCTTTTGTTCCATCCCTCTTGCATTCTCAGCAACTTTACTTTCAGTCCTTCCACTGACTCCTGCATGATTGACCTCTCCCGCTCTCCATGATCTCCCTATCACCATCCAATTAGGCTCCATTGTCTCTTATTCTTAAAAGCCAAACGAGAGAGCCTTCCCTTGATTGCAGTGCCCTGCCAGCTACTATTTCATTCCTTTGCTTCCCGTTCACAAGCCAGTTTCTCAGAGGAATTGACTCCGTATGCTGTCCACCATCTTCATTTCTTATCTACTCATCATCCTCTTCTGACCTCTCTCAGGAACCAGCCCCAGCCCTGATGATCAGATCCCTGGCCGGGCCACTTTCTACACCAGTGTGTTCCCTTCACCGACCTCCCCCGAGCCAACTTAACCCTTTTCTGCTCTTACAGACCATGGCTCTCCAGAGCCCAAATGGAGTCTTTGTTTGAGATAGAAAAAGGTGTCCTTTTACGAGATATTTGTGCCCCAAAACTGCCATGATAAATATACAAACCTAACCTGCCATGCCTACAATGTGAACGGCTGCCTTAAAGGTGGAGCAGGCCACATCTTTCACAGCTGTAGGCAGTAGCAGGATTTGACGTTAGCTCTCCATGAGGTGTTGACAACACCCTGTCCAAACAAGTCTTACCATGTTTTTATTGGGGGTGTGGGGGGAGACATGTTGTTTGGATTTGAATGGCACCCCAATCTGGCCACACTGGGAAAAGATAGTCACATGCTTGCCCACCTAAGTGTGGCTATATTGTGGTGCTGACTGTAAAAGTGGCGTGGCCCAGAAGGGACAGCTTTGAGACAGGGCCGAGGGGCCTGGAAGTTTGTTCCACTGTGTGACTAAGTATAATTCCAGAGTACATTTCTTTATTATTTTTATTTAAAATATTTTCAAAGCTATGAGCTATTTATTTGCTTTTTACTTTGACAAAAAAAAAGCTCATAAAGTTTATAATAAATGACCACAAGACAAAGCACCAGTAATTTATTTATTGAGGGCTATTACCTATCTATCTATCTATCTATCTATCTATCTATCTATCTATCTGAGCCTAAGTGACCATTATGACTGGACAACTGGATGACCGGCCGGTAGTTATTTCGCACACTGACCACCAGGGACCAACACAGGAGCTGCCCGCTGGTGGTCAGTGCGCTCTGACAGCCAACCTCTGCAGTCCCTCCCCCCGACTGGTCAGCCCAGATCAGCCCTGATTGCCCACCAGGCCGAGGGACCCCACCCATGCATGAGTTTGTGCACCGGGTCTCTAGTGTAAATATAAAAGTGGTAACACGCTCATGAAATGCTCCTGAATTTAAAAAGTTGGAGAAATATTTTTCTGGAAAACAGGTCACTTTATTACTATTATATAGAAATCTAGGATTCTGATAGCTTTATTAATGAAAAATCAAACACTATGGGTTACATGCGCAATTTCTCATGTCTCTGAACTGATTTTCTTTATGTTTTTTTTTTTTTTGAAATTCTGACTGATAATTTTTTTTTTTATAAATAAAAAACTCTGTATTTCACATACTCACAACTGTAAGCCTACTTTTTCCCAACCCTATATGTAGTACTAAACAAATTCTTTTTTTTTGATATATATTTTTTTATTGCTTAAAGCATTACAAAGGGTATTACATATGTGTCCTTTTTTTTCCCCCCGCCCTTGACAATACCCCGGCTTCCCCTACCCCCCAGTGTCTTATGTCCATTGGTTATGCTCATATGCATGCATACAAGCCCTTCAGTTGATCTCTTAACCCCCTCCCTCCTGCCCCCCAACCCTCCCCGGCCTTCCCGCTGCAGTTTGACAATCTGTGTGAGTGAACTGATTTTCTTTATGAAACATTTTAAACACATGGAAATAAGTTTGTATAAAACACACCCTTGGTTAGGCTCTAATCTACATAATGTATATCCAGAAATACATATATATCCAAGAACACGGTTAAGTGCATGGAATACAGAAAGGAGATGAATCAGGTAAAGCAATAGAGCCAAGGTTTCCTGTGGAATTAGCTTGGTTTTTCTGTCTTTTGATTTGCTTTAGTGCTAATTGTCTCTCCAGTGGTATGTAAGGTTTATGATTCTCAGGTGGAGGACGAGGCAGTACAATAGAAGTGCATGTGGACACATGCCAGCCCGCAAATGTGTGTCTCACTACCATGGCTAACAAATAAATCTTATCAGTTCATGGATCATAACTAGTTGGTGAGCTTTAGTAGAAATAGTTATAACACAGTTCTTTAGTTAAAAAAAAAACCTTACCTTTTCTTCTTTACAACATTTAACAAGAATTAGCTTATGGAAAGAGCTTAAGTTTGAAAGCCATGATTCATACATTTCCAACTCCACTTTCTGTTTCTGGAGTTGTTCCTCTTCTTCCCCTACTGTGGGATAGTTTTTCAAATCCTGTGAGTTAATGAAAGTCTCAAAAGATCCTGGAAACATAATTTAAAAATATGCCTTATTTAGAGTTGTTTTGACTTTTAAATTAAATAAATATATTTGGTAATTTAGAAATCTCTACATTTACTATCAATTCTTTCTATGAATGTAAATATACTGATATGCCCCTATCCAGACTAATTAAAGAGCAAAGAAGTTAAAACTGGATCAGAAAATATTCAACAGAAAACTACTTACAAAAAGCAAAGCGAAACAAATAATAGAGAGGTTACAATAAAAGGATGCATAGAAATACATTAATCACATGTGAACAAAAAGAAAACTGAAGTGATAAGAGTAACATTGGACAAGTTAGAATTCAAGGCAAATGTAATTAAATGGGACAAAAGAGGTTATAGTAAAATTCAAACCTCATAATAAAAGCACAATAAAATGAACCTGTATGTTCCAGATAATAGTATAAGAATATATCCCTCACTGCTGGAGGTAGAGTTTGAAAAAGTAGAAAAAGAATTGTGGTAGGAAATAATACACCATTATTAGTCTGTGACAGATGAAGCAAATTAAAAATTCTGGCCTACATAATTTGAGCAATATAAATAATATATGACTAAATCGACAATCTACACAACTTTATGCCCTGATAAGCATTAATACATTGCTCCCCCTCACCCTAGGAATAGTTATAAGAAATGGACTTGCATTTCACGTGCTATAACCCTTGCAATGGTTACAGCATGCAGTAAGAATTGGTGTTGAAATTCCTGTTGATACAAGGTGCACAGTATGCTGGGAGCTCTCGGCGAGCCAACACAGCAGTGACAAAACAGATTCCTACAGTCAAACATTAGGCAGAATAGTTGGATTACATTCCAGGCTATAAAGCCACTTTCTCCAGCTGGTCTCCTGGGGCTTTTCTCTGAGGGCCTAATAACTGCAATCAGAGTTATTGACAGAAATTTAGTGACACGTAAGAACATGGCCTTGAAGAAGGGTGCACCTCAAGACTTCTCGTTTCTCTATGGAATAAAGACAATTCCATGGCATGAGACAATTCCATGGCCACAGGGTTCATTCAGCACACCGAAGTGCTCTTTGGTTGAAGGTGGCTACATTATTCTAAAAACCAAGTAATGGAAACATTTATTCCAAAGGGAATTCTCTTTTCTTGAGGTTACTGTACAATCAACCAAGGCGTTGGCTAATAAGACAAGACAGCATATTTTAAATGATAACTCAACTAATAGGACATGAAACACTTAGAGACCATCAAAGACAAAAGATTAAGGCAATTAGGAAGCTTTTGAAAGTAAGAATGACATTGGAATGATTAAACTTGACCTACAAAGATCTAAAGTTCACATTTAGAGCACAAGCCATACTATAACACATGTATAAACCTTCACAATCCTGTAGGATTTCCAGAATAAATCTTGAAATTTTACAAATGAGAGCAGGAAAATAGCTTTAAATTGCTGAAATTTTCATCCCAATTGACAGGGTAACACAATGCCTTTTATTCAAACATGATGAGTTGTTCTCAGAATTACTTTGCCTTTCAACCTCTTCTCTCTTTCTTTGCCTCTGTGTTTATGAGGCTTCATCTATTCCTTTCTGCTTTGGGTTTGTTTGCAAATGTTCATCTCTAGGCTTCTCCTATGAGTGTTTTTTCTTTTTATGTTCTACCTCTAATGCTAGCTATCTTGTTAAACTGGTCCACAATATAGAAACATAATTTCTATTTGATGTAGTTATTGAAGAACATTTTATTTTTCTAGTCTTTATTCAGAAATCAGATAAGCATATTAAGATCCCAGAAATTCTGGTCCATGTAGACTTTAAATCACCACAATTACTGGGTACACAAAGAACAGGAACAAGACAGTGTTGTCTGCTTTCACCACTTTTATTCAACATAGACTGGAAGTCCTAATCAGTGATCAGATACGAAGAAAATATAAAAGGCATCCAAATTGGAAAGGAGGAAGTAAAACTATCACTATTTGCAGATGACATGATATTGTACATAGAAAACCCTAAAGACTCCACCAAAAAGCTACTAGATTTAATAAATGAAGTTGGCAATGTAGCAGGATACAAAACTAACACTCAGAAATTTATGGCATTTTTATACACTAGTAATGAACTCTCAGAAAGAGAAACTAAAACAAAATCCTACTAACGAGTGAAACAAAAAAAGTAAGATACTTAGAAATAAACTTAACTAAGGAGGTAAAAGACCTGTACTTGGAAAACTATAAATGTTGAAAAAAGAGACAGAGGAAGATATAAACAAGTAGAAGAATATACTATACCATGGATTGGTAGAATCAATATCATTAAAATGTCCATATTGCTCAAAGCAATCTACAGATTCAATGCAATCCTTATTAAAATACCAACAGCATATTTCACAGACCTAGAACAAACACTCCAAAAATTTATATGGAACCAAAAAAGACTCTGAATAGTTGCAGCAATCTCGAGAAAGAAGAACAAAGTTGGAGGAATCACAATACCAGATATCAAGTTATAGTACAAAGCCACTGTGCTCAGAACAGCCTGGTACCGGCACAAGAACAGGCATATAGATCAATGGATAAGAACAGAGAATCCAGAAATTGACCCAAGACTTTATGTTCAATTAATATTTGACAATGGAGATAAGAGCATGCAATGGAGTAAAGACAGTCTCTTCAATAAATGGTGTTGGGATAATTGGACAGGTACATGCAAAAAACTGAAACTAGACCACCAACTTATACCACACACAAGAATAAACTCAAATGGATAAAAGACTCAAATGTAAGTCATGAAACCATAAAAATCCTAGAAGAAAATGTAGGCAACAAAATATCAGATATCTCACAGAGCAGAATTTTCACTGATGTATCGCTTAGGACAAGAGAAACAAAAGAAAAAAATAAACAAATAGGACTACATAAAAATAAAAAGCTTTTGTAGAGCTAAAGAAAACAGCATCAAAATGAAAAGGGAGTCCACTGTATGGGAGAACATATTTGCCAATGATACATCTGATAAGGGATTAATTTCCAAAACACATAAAGTACTCATACAACTCAACAAAAGGAAGATAATCCAATTAAAATATGGGGAGAAGACCTGAATAGACACTTCTCTAAAGAGGAATACTAATAGCCAAGACATATATGAAAAAATGCTCAATATCACTAATCATCAGAGAGATGAAAATTAAAATGACAATGAGGTATCACCTTGCACCTGCCAGAATGTATATCATCAATAAATCAGTAAATAACAAATGCTGGTGAGGATGTGGATAAAAAGGAACCCTGTATTCTGTTGGTGGGAATGAAGACTGATACAACCACTATGAAAAACAGTATGTAGTTTCCTCAAAAAATTAAAAATGGAATTGCTATTTGTCCCAGTGATCCCACTTCTAGGAATATATCCTGACAAGCCAGAAACACCAATCAGAAAGAATATATGCACCTCTATGTAAATAGCAGCATTATTTACAATAGCTAAGATCTGGAAACAGCCCAAATGCTCATCGGTAGATGCATGTATTAAAAAACTGGTACATTTACACAATGGACTATAATACAGCTGTAAAAGAAAGGATCTTTTACTCTTTGAAAATGGAGGGACTTGGAGAGTATTATGCTAAGCAAAATAAGCCAGTCAGAGAAAGACAAGTATCACATGATCTCTCTTACATGTGGAATCTAATGAACAAAATAAACTGATGAACAAAAAAGATCCAGAGACCTGGAAGCATGCAATGGACTGAAGTATTTCAGAGGGAAGGGGGGTGGGTGCGATGAGATCAACCAATGAACTTATGCATATATTCATAGCGCATGGACAGACAATTGTGCAGGGAAGGCCCGGGGATGAGAAGAGAGCAGGATGAAGGGGTAAATGAGGGAGAAAGAGGGACATCTGTAATACTCTAAACAATAAAGATAAAATTTTAAAAAATCAACAAAATCCCACCAAAGACACACCAAAAACATGAGAATGACACAAGAGTTGAAAATGAATAGTGTAGAATATAATATGCCAACCAAGAGAAACCTGCTGTAGTAATGTTAACATTAAAAATATATTTTAAGGCAAATATAACTATTTAGAATAAAGAGAAATATTCTTTAATAAAAAAGAAACAATTTACTAGGAAGATGATAATCCTAAATCTATTTGTATTAAGCACTATAATTTCACAAAATATGGGAAAAATTCCAGAATTACAAAGAGAAATTGTCAGTCATAATGGTATACCTTAATTTACCTGTCTTAGAAACTGACAGATCAAATATAAAAACCATCACTAAAGTAAACACAATAAATTTTGATAGACCTTGAGGATATTACGCTATGTGAAATGTCAGCCAGAGATAGACAAATACTGTATGATCTCACTTATATATAGAATCTAAAAAAACCCCCAAACCAACAACCTCCCAGCTGCAAGGCTTATAGATATGAGAAGAGATTGGTAGTAGCCAGAGGAGGGGGTGGATGAGTGGTCAAAATGGGTGAAGGGAGCCAAAAAGTACAAACTTCCAGTTATAAAACAAGTAAGTTCTGCGGGCCGAAGGTACAGCATGGTGACTATAGTTAATGATACTGTATTGTATATTTGCAAGTTGCTAAGAGAGTAAATCTCAAAAGTTCTCATCACACACAAAAAATTCTGTAATTATGTTTGGTGGTGGATGTTAACTAAACTTATGGAGTCTTGCATCCAAGAAATGTCACATATGGAATATTTTTACATAAACTGAAGTCTAAATAAATTACAAAGAATCAATTTTATGCAGACTAGGAATGTAATTTTTATAATAGAATTAAATTATTAATAAAAAGATAGTCCCAAAATATCCTAAATGCTTTAGAATTAAAGAGTGTAATTTTAGAATTAAAAAGGGGTACATATTAAAAATTGTGGAGGAAAATTAATATAGAATGTTATAATCAGAGCAGTCATTACCTCTGGGGAAAGGGTAGGGGTCTTGTGAAGGAGTATGAGGGGATTTTGGGAGGCTGGGACTGTTCCAGTTCTTGATTTTTGTGTACTGGTCCATTAAGTGTAGTCAGTTTTTGATGAAAAAATTGTACAATTTTGATTTGGTACACTTTTCCATATGCATGTTATATTTCAATAAAAAGAGATGCAGCTAAAGCAACACTTAGAGGCAAATGTATATATTCTTAAAATGGATATAATAGTAAATATGAAATATTGAAAATTCATGGGCTAAGCCTTCAAATCAAGAAATTGGGGAAACAAGTAATTAATAATTTCTTAACAATGAAGAAATTTCCTAGAGGAAAAATACTGATATTGCAGAAAAGGTTAAAAGAGACGATAAAGTTAGGATTGGTGAGCCTGTTTACAAACCCTGATAGCAGATCCTTTTTCCATATTACATACCTAATTTTATGCAAACAGGATGTAACAACATAAATTTCTTAAGTCCTTTAAAAGCTGGAAATGATTCTTCTAAGTCATAGCATGAGTACCACACCTGAGTAAGCAGCCAGGGAATTTCAGGCTTAGGTGGGCGTTCCTGTTATAAGACAGAAAGAAAATGAGTAATGATTCACAAAGACAGCCACAAAATATGCTTTCACCTTGTCTAAGTGAAAAATCAAGCTCTAATAGCATGTTAAAAACAACCATTTACTGAAGAGAAGTAATAAGCTACGGTGAAATAGAAATGGTGTGGGATCTATTCTACCTGTAGACCTTTGCGCAGAAGTACAGCTGATGAAAGCTTTTAGGTTGGCATTGCCGAAAGCAGCTGATCTGGTGAAGAATTAGCATTAAATCTGTTAACGCTACTTCCAGCCTGTTCTCCAACACACACTAGTTTCTCCCGACCCCCAAGTATTCTTATGGTTAATGATCTTTTTTTTCTGAAGATCTAGTCTCCAAATCAGATTTCCAGATGTTCTCACTTCTAGGAAATGGGAAAAAGTGAGTAGAAGACCAATATCAATAGCAAGTCAAGTGGCAATCTTATTCCAGCTTAGTTGAGTGTATGTCTAAGCACTTCATATATCCCTAGAAATTTCTGGGAAGAGTATTATGCCATCTGGTGGTAGTCCATGAAGCACTTTCATGTGAGTAAACAGTTTTAAAAGAGACAGGAACAGCTGTGATTGTAGACTGAAACCAGTTCTTTGAAAATTTCATGAATAAGTGCCTGACATTCTATACGGCACTTTAAAACAGGTTTATTGAGACATAATTCACACACCTTTGCCCTTCCCCCATCTAGAGCATACAATCTAATGTATTTTAGTAAATTCACAGATATGTGCAACCATCACCACAGTTAATTTTAGAGCATTTTGTCTCTTCAACACCCCCATGTACCCTTTAGCTATTACCCTCCTATCTGCCCACGCCTCCCAGCCCCAAACAACTACTACACTGCTCTCTGTCTCTGAAGATTTGTCTGTTCTGGACACTTCATATAAGTCAAATTTTATAATATCTGGTATTTTGTGACTGACTTCTTTAACTGAGCTTAATGTTTTCAGGTTTATTCATGCTTCAATTAAATAATATTCCATTGTCTGGGTATAGCAGGTTTCATTTATCCACTCATCGGCTGATGGACATTGGGGTTGTTTCTACGTTGTGGCTATTATGAATAATGCTGCTATGAATGTTCATGCCCAAGTTTTTCTATGGACATCTGTTTTCTCTTTGGTATATACCTAGAAGTGGCATTGCTGCATCTTATGGTACTTCGATGTTTAATTATTTGAGGGCCTGCCAGGTTGTTTTTCAAAGAAGCGGCACCTTTTTTGCTCTCACCAACAGTTTATGAGGGATCTAATTTCTCCACATCCTCACCAACACTTGTTATTACCTGTCTTTTAAAAAAATTATTATTATAGCCATTCTACTGAGTGTGAAGTGGTATCTCACAAATGCGGTTTTGATTTGCATTTCCCTGATGAATAATAATGTCAAACATCTTTTCATGTGCTTAGTATATCTTCCTTGGAGAAATATCTCCTCAGGCCCTTCCTCTATTTTTAAATTAGATCATTTTTATTATGGAGTTGTAAGAGTTCTTTATATATTCTAGATACAAATCCTTTATCAACTATTATTTGCAAATATTTTCTCCCATTCTGTGGGTTGTCTTTTCATTTCCTTGATAGTGTCCTCTGAAGCAAAAATATGTTTATTTATTTTTATTTTGTATTTTTTTTGTTAATCCTCACCCAATTTTTTCCATTGATTCTTAGAAAGTGGAAGGGAGGAGGGAGGGGAAGAGAGAGAGAGGGGAAGAGAGAGACATCGATATGAGAACACATCAATTGTTTGCCTCCCACGTGCACCCCTACCAGGGTTGGGGATTAAACCTGCAACCCAGGTCTATGTGCTCTTGACCCGAATCGAACCTGCGATCCTTCAGTGCTTGGGCCAATGCTCCAACCATTGAGCAACACCAGCCAGGGCAAAACCATGTTTCTTTTTGATGAAGTCCAATTTATTCTTTTCCTTTGTTGCTCATGCTTTTGGTAACACATCTAAGGCTCCATTGTGAAATATGTGGTCCTGAGACTGGTGTGCTCAGTAGTTAGAGCATCAGCCTGCGCACCAAAGGGTCGCAGGTTTGATTTCTGGTCAAGGGCATGAACTTGGGTTGCAGGTTTGACCCCTAGCCTCAGTCGGGGTGCATGGGGGAAGCAACCAATTATTGTGTCTCTCTCATATGTCTCTGTCTCTCTCTCTCTTTCTTCTTCTCCCTCTTTCCCTCCACTCTCTCTAAAAATAAATGGAAAAATATCCGCAGGTGAGGATTAATTAAAAAAAAAGAAAGAAAGAAAGAAAGAAAGAAAGAAAGAAAGAAAGAAAGAAAGAAATCTGTGTTCATGAAAATTTACTCCTATGTTTTCTATTAAGAATTGTAGGTCTTATATTTAGATCTTTGGTCCATTTTAAGTTAAATATGGTGTGATGTAAGGTTCGCATGTCACTATCCAGTTGTCCCAGCACTATTTGTTGAGAAGATAGCTTTTCCCAATAAACAGTCTTGGCCTCTTGTCAAAAATTGCTTGACCACAATCGTATGATTTTATTTCTGGATTCTCAAATTTGATTCAATTTATCTGTATACCTATCTTTATGCTAGACGTACTGTCTTGATTACTGCTGCTTTGTAGTAAGCTTTGGGGTTAGGATCCTTTGCAATTCCACATGAATTTTAGAATAAGCCTGACAATTTCTACAAATAAGTCAGCTGGGGTTCTGATAGGAACTGTACTGAATTTGTAGCTCAATTTGGGGATATTGCCATCCTAACAATATTAAGTATCCAATCCACGAACGTGGGATGTTTCTCCATTTATTTAGGCCCTCTAATGTCTTTCAACATGTTTTATAGTTTTCAGAGTATGTTTTTGAACTTCCTTGGTTACATTTATTTCTAAGTATTTTATTCTTTCTGATGCCACGGTAAGTAGAATTGTTTTCTCAATTTCACTTTCATTCTTGTTCATTGCAAGTGTACAGCAGAAATACGAATTAGTTTCGTATATTGATTCTGTACCTGCCATCTTGCTGAACGTGTTTATTAATTCTGATAGGTTTTTCTAGTAGGTTCTTTAGTGTTTTCTATATACAAAGTCGTGTCATTTGCAAATGGAGATAGTTTTATTTCTTTTCCAACCTGGATGCCCTTTATTTCATTTTCTTGCCAATTGACCTGAGGAGAATCTCCAGTTCAATGTCAAAAAGAAGTGGTTAGAGTAGGACATCCTGTCTTGTTTCTGATCTCAGGGGGAAAGCACCCAGGCTTTCACCATGAAGTGTCATGTTAGCTGTGGGTTTTTGTACACACCCTTTATCTAGTCAAGCAAGTTCTCTTCTATTTCTAGTTTGAGTGTTTTTATGACAAAAGGTTGTTGGGTTTTGTCAAATGCTTTTTCTGTGTCTACTAAGATGATCATGTGGTTTTCCTTTTTTATTCTATTTTTTAAATTATATTTTTGTTGATTTTAGAGAGGCAGGGAGAGGAGAGAGAGAGATAGAAACATCAATGATGAGAATCATTGATCAGCTGCCTACTGCATGCCCCCTACTGGGGATCGAGCCTGCAACCCGGGCATATGCCCTTGACTGGAATCGAACCCAGGGACCTTCACTCCGTAGGCTGATGCTCTATTCACTGAGCATAAAACCACCTAGGGCTCCTTTTTTTATTCTATTGACTTATTAATCTATTGATATGAAGCACTTATGATAAAAATGGAAAATACAAGTATTAAGATACTAGTAACTAAGTAAGTAAAGTAACTTAGATAAAAGATATCCCCAAACACATTTCTAAAACAAAATCAGTCAAGAATCATTAATATTTCCTTGTGATGGAAGAAAAGATAGGTTAATTTAAAGAAACCCACAACATTTGAGAAGTTTCTGAAGATGATTTCTGGATAACTTTAAGTTTTGACTTTGATGGTATTTAAAATATCTTAAATTTCTTTTTGAAATATGTTGCTCATGAGAAGTAATAGGTGGTGCTGGAATGGACATGGGCTTTGGGAATTTAGACGCAGGTTTGAATCAGACTCGTTCACGCATCAGTTATATGACTTTGGAAAGTTCTTGAAGTTCCCCAAGTCTTGGGAAGACTATAAACAAGGCTAACAGGAGTGTTGTGAGGACAGAAGGGCCTGGCTGAGTGACCAACTAACAGGCAGCAGTAGATGAAACACTGGCATATGTAGTAGGTAACAGGGCAAGCTCTACAGACTGCGAGGCTCCAAATCCTGGTTCCAAACCCCTGTTAAGTATAGGTATGTGATCATGACAAGTTATTTAACCTCTCTGTGCCTAATTATCTTACCCAGGGGTCCTAAAACTTTTTAAACAGGGGGCCAGTTCACTGTCCCTCAGACCGTTGGAGGGCCGGACTATAGTTTTAAAAAAAACAGTATTAACTGTGATTATGAAGTTAAGATAGCATTGATAGAATATCTATGCATGCAAGATGTGTATTTGCATGTGGCCCTCGGACTGTAGTTTGAGGACCCCTGATCTTACCTGCAGACTAGAGATAAAATTAGGAACTCACATAAGAGGAATACTGAGAGTAATAAATGAGTTGATCTACTTCCATAGCTAGCCGTTGGCAAATATTAACTGTGATTATGAAGTTAAGATAGCATTGATAGAATATCTATGCACGCAAGATGGGTGGGGGTTGGGGAGGCAGGATCACCTGGTGGAAAGGTCTTGCCTGGGCTTGTCCTGGGAGCATAGGGCACTGGGAGTCAAATAAAAGCATAAAGTCCAACTTCCCAGGGATACACTCAGGCTCAATGCTGGCAAACAGGGGCCATCATCATGTCTGCAGGGGCCAAGGGCAGGGCTCAATAGTGGCAGAACAGAGCCAAGAGTTTAGAATGGGGCTGGATGGAGTTACAGGCAGGAGTTGGGGAGGCGATGGCTTAATTCAGGGGCCACCAGGTGTGTTGTATGTGGATGAGTCAGTCCAGCTTAAGTGGCTGGAGCAAGTTAGATAAAAGGATGAACATGAAGAAGGACACCGTAGCACAACTCGTATTACAGTATCACAGAAGGTAACAATCAAGTTCTATTACTGCCATACTTTATAACGAAAGATGCATCCAGGAGGAAATAGAAGGTCATGATTTCATCAACAGTATCATCAAATCTATGAATTACAACTTTTATTAAATTTTAACTCTTCATATTTGTAAAATGGTCAACTTTTAAAAAATATATTTTTATTGACTTCAGAGAGGAAGGGAGAGGGTGAGAGAGATAGAAATATCAATAATGAGAGAGAATCATTGATAGGCTGCCTCCTGCACGCCCCCCACTGGGGATCAAGCCTGCAGCCCAGGCATGTGCCCTTGACTGAGAATCGAACCATTACCTCCTGGCTCATAGGTTGGCACTCAACCACTGAGCCACACTGGCTGGGCTAAGATAGTTAAAAACATTCCCATCTTCTAACTCCCTGGTTACTCCCAACATCCCTTTTGTGTAGGTGAGGCTATTGCTGCTTAAAGAGGATAACTGTCCCATCACCCAGGGACAGAGCTAAGCTAGAGCCTGGGCCTCCGGACCCCCAGGGGCCCCACCCTGGGCCACATGGCCAAATGGATACCCTTGGGAGGTGCTTGTGGGCTCCAGATAGAGTAACATCTGCAAACTGAACTTGAAACAGGTACCTTTTCTAATCCTGAAGAACCTCGGAGAAAGAAATTCCATTCAGCATCAGTTAAGCTTCCTTGCTGACGCATGATCTCAATGCAGAGCATGAAGCTGTAGATGAGTTTATGCTGTTCAAAGAGTCCTCTCGAAACATTGGCATACGCAGTCAGGAGGGTCTGCTCCAGGAGTATGTCCATGCGCTCCTGCAGATTATCTGTCTTCTCAGAAGTTTCAATTGTTGTATTGAACAACTGTGGGAGAGAGGGCTCGGTCAGCGTCCCCGATTTCATTCCATTCTGAGGAGGAGAAGCACATCTCTGCTCCTCACCTCCCTTCCCTCATATTCAGTGTACACAGAGCAGCATAAGGCATGGGTACTGTGCTATGAATTCACCCCAAATTGGCATGTGATACTTATTTTCTGCATCCCGCCTTCTCTCCCCGTTCTTCAGAAACGGGCCAATGCCAAACCCCCAAAGGCATCATCTCGATGAGAGACAGAAAACACAGAGAAATGCAGGCGAGCCGGCAGAACCAGGGTTTCCATGACCTCAAGTCAGATTTGATAATTCCCTTGGGGTGAGCCATGCAAGGGCCAGGTCAGGTCACGTGCCCCTCTTGGCCCTGCCCCAAGACAATTCTTAGGGAGTGGAAAGAGTGTGCTGGCATTTTCTTTGACATTTAAGAGGACCCAGTTTTAAAGGAGACTTCCTTCCCACCTATTTTCCACCTGGAGGTGCCCCACATTGCAAGGCCACCGGGAAGGCAGCAGAGATGGCGGCATGGAGGGCGTAGGCATGGGAGGGCCGTTTCCTGCAACCTATGAGTAGCATGCGAGGAAGAGCTAAACATTCCTGAGGGCCCCACGCTGAGTAAGGGAGCTTGAGCAGAGCCTGAACCATGCTCGTGGGCTGGGCTGGAAGTCACGGAGGAGGGGGCATTGCAGCAGAGACTGGGAGTCTCATGAGGGACTAGAAGGGTGTGTGGGTTCCGTCTCAAAAGATCCACAGCACAAGGGACAACGGTGTGAAGTGATCGGCTTTGACCTCGGATGGCAGGCTGCTCTCGCCTGCTGGAGTCTCACTGCAGCCTCACCCATCCCCGTCTTCCCCTAGGGCAGCGATGGCGAACCTTTTGAGCTCGGCGTGTCAGCATTTTGAAAAACCCTAACTTAGCTCTGGTGCCGTGTCACATATAGAAATTTTTTGATATTTGCAACCATAGTAAAACAAAGACTTATATTTTTGATATTTATTTTATATATTTAAATGCCATTTAACAAAGAAAAATCAACCAAAAAAATGAGTTCACGTGTCAGAGATGACACGCGTGTCATAGGTTCGCCATCACTGCCCTAGGCCAAGAACGGTTTTTCCTCTAGACATCCTGTTTTAACTCATAATAGGCAGAGCAAATGTGTTGGATACAAGACGGACACAGATTGTTTGCTGCTCCTCCCATTGAGGAATGGAGTCTAATGGAGTCTAAATCCCGTCCTCTTGAATCTGGGCTGGCCTGGACTCAACTGACCAAGGACGGGCAGCAGAAGCGATGAGGCATGGCATCCAAGGCTGGGCCGGGAGAAACCTCGAAGCTTTCGCCTTGGTTCTTAGGACGTTTGCTTTGGGGAGGTGCCCCCTCAGAACCCAGTGGCTGTGTTGTGAGAAGCCCAAGCCACATGGCGAAGCCAATGCGGGTCATTGCCGACAGCCCAGCCACGGGAGTGAGCCCATGTGTATGTCCGCCCTATTCGAACCTCCAGACGGCGGCAGCCCCCGAAACAGGTTTCACTGGAGAAGGTGGCATCTGAGCTGGGAGGGCGGGAGTTCTGAACAGAGCGGGTGCGATCAACAGTCTGGGGAACGTGAATGACCGATTTGGCTGCTGCTGCGGAGTGAGGGGAAGTGTGGCTCGAAAGGTAGAACAGACCCAGGTTGGATTTGGCGTCGGAGTGAGAACTGTGTTTGACGGGAAGTATCTGTGGAAATCCATTTCGGACCCCAGGGATGTGGAGCAGTGTTTTGAAACCACTGGGCAGAGACTGGCCTGGCTTCCAGTGTGAGGGCCAGCCCTGTCTAAAGGAATCAGGCCGGTGACAGGAAGCAGGTGTACTGCAGGGACACACGGCGTAGCCACAGCTCTCCACCGTTTCCTACTGAGAGTGGCATACGTGGAGAGGCCTTTGTCGGTTGAGGTGTGTTATGGGTATGAGCACAGGTGATGAGAGAAGTGAAAGTAAGCTCAGCTGCTGTGTATAGAGAAGGCAACAATGTAGATGAGAGGGGGTGGGAGCTGGTAGATGGTGGGCTGAGGAAGAGGCCACTGGCAGCTGAGAGAACCTCCGGGGGTGACCAGAGGGACCAGTGGGGGTGCTTGCCGAGTTTTGCTGTGTAGTGAGTGATGAAACTCTCCCCGGGAAATCGTCAGGTGAACTGACATCGCTTGTCAAATATTTGTGACACTGAGTTTGCGTTGGGGAGATGTGGAATGAGGGCTGAAAATAATCCTATTTACAAGACACCAGATAAAACCGAACTGTGAATATGAGATCATGTAGGGGGACCATACATAGAATTAGGAAGTCTTACAGTGATACGGTGAGTGTGGGAAAGGAACAAAGGAAAGCTCCTTGAAATGAAAGCCAGGGGGAGGAGAGGCAGTTGTATAAAAGTCCTGGGAAAAAAGATACAGACCAAGTAATTCACTTAAGTGCTGGCGGAGACTTGAGATATGACATGAAAAACTCTAACAGTGGAGAGGAAGCTGGCTTACTGCAGAGAAAGTATAAAGAAATAGCATGGAGCTGGGACTCTTACAAGAGGAAAGGCCCTGGCCGGTCTGGCTCAGTGGAAAGAGCATCAGCCCACGGACTAAAGGGTTCTGGGGTTCAATTCTGGACAAGGGCATGTACCTCGGTTGCAGGCTTGCTCTTGGGCCCCAGTTGGGGAGTATACGGGAGGCAACCAATTGATGTGTCTCTCTCTCACATCATTATTTCTCTCTCTCTGTCTCTCACCCTCCCTTCCACTCTCTCTAAAAATCAATGGAAAAGTATTCTCAGGTGAGGATTAACAAAACAAAACAAAACAAAACAAAACAAAACAAAACAAAACAAAAGAGAGAGAGAAGAAAGGCAGGCAAAAAGGGAAAACAAGCAAGCTACTGAGTGGAGGAAGCCAAGAGAAAGCTTTCTCTTCTTCCTCCTCAGACTGTTCTGAGCACACTGGGGACTCGAGTTTTTAGGAGTCATGTGTGGCCTCTGACCCCAAACTCCTGGAGGACTTCACCCCATAACTGGACTCCTGATTGTCCGAGGCAAGAAGAAACTCATCAGGGTTTCAAGGAGACCCAAGGAGATCACTTTCACTAGCAGCAGCGCCGCACTCACCTGTTTGAAATATTTTAAGGAGTACTGATACATGGGGTCTATTTCTGAGAGGCTCGCAATCACGAAGTACATGACGGAGCCTTGAGTGGCGACCGGCCGATACTTCTCTCGAGCAACGTTTATCATCACCTCAGTGGACTCTGCTTCCTTCAGCCTGCTTTTAATGGCACCAGAAGTGATCTGAATGAACATAGAAAACACGTTCTTAAGAGTCTGTTTTGTTGTTTTTGTTTTTTAAAAAGGTGGGATTTGGGGAATATACCCAGTCATGTGTGGGAAAGAAATAAGGGTACGATGAATTAGTGATTATAATAAGGGGGTCCACAGGTAGAATGACTGAGTGAGGACTCAGCGGCCTGCTACTGACTGAGCCGACCTCTTGCCTCCTAGAGTTAGGAATGGGCCAATGGGAACAGGCAATACAAATAGCCCCCCCCAAAACTGGAGCAGTACCTCGCTGAGACAAATCAGAATTACTTCTGAAACAGGAACACTAACACAGTACTCCCAATTGCTCCTAAAATGACCCAGGTTCACATCATGAACGGGAAAGGGACACCTATATCTTTTGGCCCAAAAGAGGTGAGCAGAGATGGGCTAGAGCAGTGGTTCTCAACCTTCCTGATGCCGCGACCCTTTAATACAGTTCCTCATATTGTGGTGACTCCCAATTTCATTGTTACAAATTGAACATAATTAAAGCATAGTGATTAATCACAAAAACAATATGTAATTATATATGTGTTTTCCGATGGTCTTAGGCGACCCCTGTGAAAGGGTCGTTCGACCCCCAAAGGGGTCGCGACCCACAGGTTGAGAACCGCTGGGCTAGAAGGAAGTTGTACTGGTACCACATCCCACCCCAGAACAATCAGGAAGACTAATATTTTCCCCTGTCTTTCCCTAGCGTCCCCAGGTACGGGCGTCAGGAAATCTGGAAGCTGCTGCCTGTGAAGGGTTATAAGGCCACGGAAGTTGGAGCCGTTTGCAATGTCTTAGCTGTTCTCTTAGTTTTCCGTGTTTTAGGTCGTGGCCCGGGGGAACCTTTCAGCACGTGGGCGTTCCAAGAGTCCCTTCTCTGTCTCCCTCAGTCTCTCTGTGTTGCTGGCTGGCCCCGTCCTCCTCCCGGCCCCTCCACTGTTTTTTTCAGCTGTGGATGTCCCTGAGTGGGGAGATCCTTTGTCCTAGAAAGTCAAAGGGTCTAGGGTGGGGACCATGAACAACCCCCCTGGGGACTGCTGCTCAGTATTTGCTACACTGAAGGGAGGGCTACAGGGACCTCAGGCTTCTGCCTAGACCAGGGGTCCTCAAACTACGGCCCGCGGGCCACATGCAAATACAAATATTGTATTTGTTCCCGTTTTGTTTTATTACTTCAAAATAAGATATGTGCAGTGTGCATAGGAATTTGTTCATAGTTTTTTTTTAAAACTATAGTCCGGCCCTCCAACGGTCTGAGGGACAGTGAACTGGCCCCCTATTTAAAAAGTTTGAGGACCCCTGGCCTAGACCCTCACTACCGGATAGAAATAGAATGTGAACCACATATGTAATTCTAGCTTTCCTAAGTTTGTTACGAGTAAAATGATCTTTAACATGACATTTTATTTAACCTACTACAATCCAATATATGCTGGCTATAAAGACATAACTCATATAAAAATTATTGAGATTTTTTTTACATTTTTAAACTAAAATGTCTTTGAAATCTGGTGTGTATTTTACACTAACAACACACCTTAGTGCAGACTAGCCACATTCAAGTGCTCAATAGCCACAGGTGGCTAGGGGTCTAAGTCTAGGCTATCTACCCAGGGCCACCAGGAAAGGGAGTTATATCCAGGAATCAAACGCTCAAACTCTCCCTGTATTGGCCCCTTTCAGAACCTGAGGGGACAGGAGGAATGGAAGAGGAAATACCAATACGGTTTTGAGGACCGGAAAGCAGACACGGAGAGTGGCAATGACTCAGCAGACCCAGGGAAAGGGATTCCTAAACTGGCAAAGGGGAGAGTCCAGAACTCATCAATTTCCAAAACAGAACCACCCCTCTGCCCCCCCCCCCCAAAGGCTCAGCACCACTGGTCGTGGGAAGGGCCTAGAGTTGGAAGTGGCTGAGAGACTCCCAGGTCACCTCCCCACACCACGCAGCTGCGGGGTAGGTCCTGCCCAACCCTCGCTGAAAAACAGAGGTTTCACCCCAGAGGACATTTAAAGAGGGGATTTTTTTTTTTATGGAAGGAAATCAGGCACTGTTAGTTGATGGCCAGGTTGAGAGACCATACTGAGAACAGAGGGATTAGGTGAATGTACAGATGCTGGGTGCTAAGATCTGAGCTCTTCTCTTCTCAGCCTTCCAAATACCTGCAGCCAGATCTTCACACTTCCAGGCAATGTGGACACTGAGTGTTTAACTACCATCAGGTGGGAGATGGGAAGGGCGTGTGGGAGATGGGAGATGGGAAGGGCGTGTGTGTGTGTGTGTGTGTGTGTGTGTGTGTGTGTGTGTGTGAGAGAGAGAGAGAGAGAGAGAAATAAAGTTAACAGTTAATGTATAAAAGAGAAACCTCAAGAAGTAGCATATGAGTCTATTATTTAGAGAAAAGATACTAAAACCCAAGCAACTCAAACAAAAAAGAGATGAAAGCAGTTGTCTATGAAGGGGAGTCATAGGTGTGTGTGTGTGTTTGGGGGGGGTGTTACAGAGAAGGCAGGAAATGCTATTTTTTCATAACAAACCTTATAGAAATATTTTGTTCTTTAAACAATTTGCATGTAAAACTTTGATAAGAAAATAAATGGATTAACAACCAACTTCCAGAAATGAAAAACCCAAGGAAGAATGAATGAAAAGAGGATAAAGAGATTCATGAACAGCCCTAGCCCGTTGACTCATTGGATAGAACACTGGTCCATGGACTGAAGGGTCACAGGTTCGATATTCAGGTGAAGGGTATGTAACTCGGTTGCAGGCTTGATCCCGGGCCCCAGTAGGGGCATCTGCTGGAAGCAATCAATCCAATTGATGTGTCTCTCTCACAGCAATGTTTCTCTCCCTCTGTCTTTCCCCCTCCCCTCCACTCTCTCTAAAAATCAATAGAAAAATGTCCTCAGCTGAGGATTAACAAAAACACACACACACACACACAAAACACCCCCCCCCCACACACACAAGAGATTGATGAACAAACAAGCAAAGAGAAGTAAGCAATGGAAGACCCACAATTATGTGTTTATTATTGTTTCAGTACTGAGATAGGTCCCAAGAGACTGTAGGATATAAAGCACAAACCATTTCCCCATCAAGGCATTTTTTAGTAAATTATTTTATGTTTCTCACTAGTGGCTAAAAATAATTTTATAGTTCGTATTCCCAGTATACTTTTAAAATTATGATTTGAATCTGAGAAATAATTCAGTGCAAGATATACATGTAATGTAAAACTTCCTCGTACTATTAATACAGTTTTACTGAGTGCCATACACATCCAAGGCACGATGCTTAGCCCTTGGAGAAAGAATATCAAGATGAACTGTTCAGATTCTTATTACATAGAAATGAACCACCAACAAAAGAGATAAGACATGTAATAGATACCTATGGCATAAGGTAAACAGGGACAAGTACTGTAATAGAGGCTCAGATAAGAGGCTATAGGTGTTCTAGGGAGGGAGAGATTAATTCCAGCTGGGCGTACTGGGAGACTTCCTCAAGGGGTGACATTAATATGAATATATAATTGTGTTATTCCTTTCAACTTATATTTTGTTCCAGTTCTTTACATTATATGTTTTATTTAAAAAAATGCAGACAAGAGGAGCCATTGTCTATAATTTATCTTCTCTTCCTTTGGTTGGTGCCAGAAAGGTATACTCGTGAGTCCTGGAAGCCCAGATGTGCATGGCATTGTTGCTGTGCAAGGCTTTGCAGGAACTCTCAAAGGCTGTAGCTATAACTTCTGGAGTCACACACTTTTTATAAATACTAAAAAGATCTTACTTGCCTTTGAATCCTGGAGTGTCTCAATAAGTTCCTCATTGTCCAGAATATTACCTTCAGATGTAAAGAGCATTTTCAAGATTTTATCTTCAATTGTTTTTAGCTGGTTTTTATCAGTGTTGATCCTCACAATGAGCTTGATTCTTTGTTCTTCCAACTCGGGTTTCTCAAGTCGCACCACGTCACTAGAACCAAAGTTTGAATACTATATTATGGCTTTGTCAGAGCGCTAAAGTAAGTTGCTCCTTGTTTATTTGTTATGCACATGCTGAATTCAGAAACTTAAAAAATTATTACACAAAGACCATAAGAAATCATCACTGCAAATCCACTTGTTTATGGAATTTTTTTAGAAGAGTATAAAGTGCAGCCCAGGGATTCAACACCCCAGGACTGAGCCTCAACATTCCCCTGTTCTTGTCGGCACTTCTGCCTCTCAGCCCAGGCAGTCTCAGCGACACAGCTGAGCTCAGCTCCTCATGGGACTGAGCTGGTGTGCAAAATGTTCAGCCACGTCCTTAGAACATGGCCATGAACTGTGGTGAGATACCCTTTGTCTGGAAAGGAGTGAGCCTAGCAGAATTCAAGCAAGTTAGTAGCTGGCAGAATAGATTCCTAAAGTAAACAAGGAAAATGAGACTTAAACTCATTAGTGATAACGGGAGAATATCAGGATAATCTTGACTCGAATATAAAGGATTATATTTATTTTGAATATGGGTCTAAATTATATTTTCCTTTAAAGTTAATCAATATACACACACAGTTTTTAACTAACATCAATGTTGTTATTTTAATAAATATTTAAAATATTTTGCCTTCTAAACTTCTTGGCTAATTCCGATGGTTAATATAAATAATCCATAATCTCATTTTGGGGGAATGGAGATTTAATCACATACAAAGTATACCAAGGGAGGGCATTTTTTTTGAGGTAGACAAATGTAGGTAAAAATAAATGCACTAAGAAAATAACTAGAGTTAAGAGAGACAGGAGAAATATATTTGAGAGCAGTAGTGCTTTTTCAGTGTGGAGTAATGAGTCTCTAGAAACCATAGGACGACTGACTTCATTTACTTGCCCAAGATCGGAATCCCAGTGAAGGGGAAGAGCCAGGAGGGGCTGCAGGCCTGGCCCAAACCATGGCGGAGAATGAAGAGAGGAAAAGAACTTGGCCATTTACTGTTATCTTTGTGGTTGAGGGTTTATGAGTGATGTTTTCTTTTAATACATTAAAATTTTTCTTTGTCAAAATTTCTAAACAAAATATTAGGAACTCCCCCCCCCCTTTATTATTACCTTAACAACTGGTCCTCCAGACCTGATTTGGTCACAGTGAAATTGATGATGGTAACTTTAATGCACACCTAGAAAAGGAGCATGGAGTCCATTCAAATGCTTAAGTTCATACTGAGCAAACGAGAAGTGCACTCTTCATTAGAACATAGCTCGCTATTACCCAGCTGAACATACGCATCCACCCCCACACACACCAAACATCCTGTCTTATAAAATCTTCATATGATTCTCCCTGCCAGTATGAGTGACAGTCTAGTTCCTCAAATGCCACAGTTATAGGTGAACCAGCAAAGGGTTACACACGAACTCATTTTTTTTGGTTGATTTTTCTTTGTTAAATGGCATTTAAATATATAAAATAAATATCAAAAATATAAATCTTTGTCTTACTATGGTTGCAAATATCAAAAAATTTCTATATGTGACACGGCACCAGAGTTAAGTTAGGGTTTTTCAAAATGCTGACACGCCGAGCTCAAAAGGTTCGCCATCACTGGTCTAATTCTTCAAATGCCACAGTTATAGGTGAACCAGCAAAGGGTTAAAAAGAAGCAGGGTTATAGAATGAATTGCTCGGGGTCAGATTCCAGGTGCACCCTTTAGTACATGTGTGATGCTGCACAAACCATTCACTCACACCGAGCTTTCAGTTCCTGATATTTGAAAATTGGGATGATACCAACTCATGAGGTATATGTGGGGACCAATTGAGGTAGTAAAATCCCTTAGTTACAGTAACTTGTGCATACTTTGTCCTAGTTAAAGAGAAGATATTATTGATAATAAATCGAGCTTTACATATTTTGTCTCATCATAACATTTTAATAAAAAATTGCTATAATATTCTGACATTATTTAAATAAGGCAACAGGTGTTAACTTATTTAAATAATGTCATCAGAATATTATAGCAATAAATGTAATAAGAGTAGGTGTTTGCATGTAATGTATTTTACATGTTATTCTTATTTAATCTGCATAAAAAATTCTTGAGGTAGGCTTTCTCTCTACATTATAGTGGATTGACTTGAACACCCAAGAAATAGACTAATTCACCCACAGTCACAGAGCTGGGGTTGGGTAAGGTATGCAATGCTCCCTCTCAAAAGTTAAGTAAGTGAGAAATCGAAGGTTGTAAGTTGATCACTTTTCTAAATTCTAAAATGGCACTTCAGTCATGCACTCTGGCAGGGGTTGACACAGAAAACCTTGACTTAGGTTTTTAATGCATTGCCCTTTTCTTATTCAAAAAGTGTGTCAGTTTTATTCAACCTGAACACATCTATGAAGTCAGTAACTGAAACAAAAATGACGATATTTAAAAGGGTATATTTAAAGATATTTTAAAAATTGTGTGTGTGTGTGTGTGTGTGTGTGTGTGTGTCCCAGCCAGTGCCTGAGCATTGACCTATGAACCAGGAGGTCATGGTTCGATTTCTGTTCAGGACACATTCCAGGGTTGTGGGTTCAATTCCCGGGGCGGGGGGGGGGGGGAAGGGGGCATGCAGAAGGCAGCCGATCAATGATTCTCTCTCATCATTGATGTTTCTATCTCTCTCTCCCTCTCCCTTCCTCTCTGAAATCAATAAAAAATACTTAAA